ACATTATAATAGTAATAAAAACACAGTTGAAAAATGCTAACCTGCTAAAAGAGAACGAGCAATTGATGCGCACACACAATGAGGATGAGGAAATCATCGACTGATAAGGCTGAAGCGATCGGTTCAAATTTGCAGGCAGGGGATGAATTTCAAGCACATGCAAATTAGATTTGGCTAAACAGTTATTTGATAGTAAACAGTTCTCAGCTAAAATTGTTCAAAAATATCTTGTGGGGACTGAGTGAAATGTCAGGATGTAAACAGTATGACGCTGGAACTGATGGGGTGATGAAAATAAGGTGTGATGAGACCGAGGCATGATGACACTTCAGGAACAAGAGAAATGTGCTAAAGAAGGTGACAGGCTCATGGCGCCACACAAAGAAGCAGATACAAATAGACAACTGCAGGCGGCAGGAGGAAATGGATAAAATGAGAACAATAGGGGTCAACAAGGCAGCTGGTGTGGCAGAAACCCTAACAAACTCAACTGGAGGGCACATAGCTGAGGAAACAAGGCACACTTGCCTCAGAAGCCATTCAATTGAGCACCATATTTGTCAGCTTATAGTTTGTGTGTATGTGTGTGTGTGTGGGGGGGGGGGGGGGTTGCTTTTTGCATAATTTGCATGCCCTGCGACTTATACTCTGAAGCGACTTATTTATGGATTTATTTATTTTTTTATTTTTTCCCATATGTATAAACTAATTTGTGGCTGAGATATAACTGTTTTCATTCATTCTGACTGACAATATTGATCATACCAAATGTATGGCATGTCGTTGTGTCATGTAATAGGTAAAAGTGGCTAATGACACAATTGGCCTGTCACCCTCGTCCAGCTCGCCTGGAGCTTTTATTATGTGACTTTTAATCATTGCATTCACTTTTATTTTCTGACTGTATGATTGTTTCATTATGTGTACAGCACTTTGGATGTTTAAAGTGCTCTATAAATAAAGCTGGTATGGTATGGTAAGTAAAAGTTCAACTGAGACACACCTTTACTATAATTTTGAGCAAACAAATAATTGTTTTAAGTGTTAGTCTTGTTAAATTCTTGTTAAGCCCTCCCGTGCACACACCCCTGGCCGCAATTTGGCAGCCAATCGATTTATGGCACAACACTGGCCCACATTTCTGGGTTGTCAGTGGTGATGCATAATAGATGCGACTTATATGGTGAAGTGACATATTTGTGTATTTTTCCACTTTATTAGACATATTTGGACTGATGCGACTTATACGCGGTGTGACGCGTACAGCGGAAAATATGTTTTTATTTGAGATAATATACCGATTGTGCATAAAAAAATAAAATAAAAATCAAATATTACATCATGGGTCGCAGAAACGCTAAATCCATCTTCTGTTTCTCCGACCTTTGTTCTCAGTGGCAATCTTTCTTTTGATCTAAAACTCTGATCTATGCGATGAATTACTTGTTTATAGATATGCATGGTCATAAATATAAGAAAAATGCTTGACGTTATCAAAGCAGCTCAAACATGTTAGTCCATCATTCTGGGATTTTTTGAATCTGAAAAGCTTCCGTGCATTGTGATGGTTAAATATTTTTAAACTGAGCTGAAGCGTATTAATTTGATGCAATTGTGACAGATTATGCCGCAGATGTATGCAAAGGTTGAGCATGAGAAAAAGGCAGGGAAATGCAACATGTTATCGTGTTGAGAAGACAAAGGGAGCTGTCGTCAGTCACTGTTAAGTGAAAGGACAGAAGAAAGGTTGCAGCTGAGTTGATGATGAATTCCACAGAAAGCAGAAATCTGACAGGTTTTTGTTGGAAACATAATAGTCTCAGCATCTCCAGTGAGGTCATTACAGATGCAAATCCCATTCACGGTGGTGTTTTATGTCACCTGTTTCTTGATGTTCTAGGACAGCCACGGAAAGTGGCCCGTGGAGGAACTGCAAATCAAGACAGAAAAATAGAAATGGGTGGACAGATAGGCTACCTTCACTGGCAGCGCTGTCCCTCTTTTGTCTTCTCCCCCCCTCCTTCCTTTTGTCTCTGATCACAGCTCCACAGTTTGTTCTCCCATCACTCATTTTCATTGCCCTATCTCTTTTCCCATCTCTCTCTCGATGTTAGACGAGGACGTTGCACCCCACCTCCGCCTGATTCTCAAGCATCTGTTTTTTTTTTGCCAACAGTTTTCTCCTGAGAGTTTGATGCTCTCAGGGGCTGTGTGTGAACTGGGTTAAAAAGCATATTTTTTTGTGCAAATGTCTGGTTCTTGAAAGGGAAAATAGGTCCCAACAGTATGAGATAGGTTGTGGTGTAAGCTCAAATTGCTTGTAAAGCAAGTCTCCAGATCACTTGTTGTTATATGTAGCATTCACAGATAGCTGCATTAGTTTGTCTTGTTCAATGAATGACATAAAGTCATCCACTTAATGTGCACATACATATTTCAACCTTTCAAAACTTAAATTTCAGTGTGATCCTAAGGATGATGAGGCTTAGTTAAACAAAACTAAAAAAAAAAAATAAATGTACACACTTATGCACACTGGCAAATAAAGCTATGCTGATCAGGTATATGACAAGTCTACAAACAAAGAAACAGCAGAGAGATTACCTCTTCAGTGTGACAACAAGGTGCCACGCTCAGTGCCAAGGTTGTTTTGTCAAATACCTTGAAGGACTGAAACATGGGAGATTCAAGCTATTTCAAATTATTATAATTTTTTTTTATCAATTTGGAGTAAATTAAAATTTTAATATGTTATTTCATGGTAAAACATAAAAAAATATCCTGACACATATAGGTATTAGAATTAGCACATTTGCTTTGAAGGTGTGCAACATTAAATGTTGTGTTACAGACTATCTGATAACACTATTGGTAATCTATAATAGTTTATATGACAGTTTTATTTTATATAATATTTTATAGTTTAGGGAGACACGGTGGCTCAGTTGGTAGAGATGTTGCCTCTCAGCAAGAAGGTCACTGATTCAAATCTTGGCCAGGAACTTTTCTAGGTGGAGTTTGCATGTTCTCTCTGTGCATGTGTGGGTTTTCTCCGGGTGCTCCGGTTTCCACCCACACACCAAAAACATGCATGTTAGGCTGATTGGTGACTCTAAATTGTCCCTGTGAGTGAGAGACTGAGTGGTTGTTTGTCTCTATGTGTCCCTGTGATGAACTGGAGACCTGCCCAGGGTGTACCCCGCCCCTCACACAGTGATAGCTGGACATGAGCACCAGTGACCCCCACGACTTGAAAAGGAAGAAGCGGGTAAAGACGATGGATGGATGGATGGATGGATGGATGGATGGATG